TATTGCCTCTGGGTGAAGCTGTGATTGAATCTAAGTATCTGGTCACATCGTCTTTCCAGGCTCGTCGCAGGCCCATCATGAGCAACCACACCGCCACGCACATCTTGAACTTCGCCCTGCGGGGGGTTTTGGGGGAGGCAGACCAGAGGGGCTCCCTGGTGGCCCCCGACCGCCTGCGGTTTGACTTCACTGCTAAAGGTGCCCTGAGCACGGGGGAGGTCCGCCGCACTGAGGAGATCGCTTGTGCCATGATAAAAGAAGCAAAGGTCAGCGGGAGAATAAGCATGAAACACCAACAGATTGTAGTTCCTTTAAAAGGGAATATGTGGCCTTCTTTTAAGATACTGATTTTGATGGAGGTGGCGACGCTAGCTCAAGGTTTTGTATGAAGAGGAAATCAAATATTCCTGATTAAAGTTTCACACTTGCCTTTAATGCATATTAATATTGACTCCATTCAAACCATCAGCTGACGGTGTTTTCCCTCCCGCGCTTTGCTCTCTCCAGCCGGTGTACGCCATGGACGCCCCGCTAGCAAAGGCCAAGGCCATTCAGGGCTTGCGCGCCGTGTTTGATGAGACCTACCCCGACCCCGTCCGAGTCGTGTCCATCGGCATCCCCGTCGAGGAGCTGCTGGAGAAGCCCGAGAGCACCGCTGGTTCTCTCACCTCCATCGAGTTTTGCGGGGGAACGTGAGTGTCGATGCTTTGTTCCATTTTTCATGTCCGCTGACTTGCGACGAGGAATGCAAACCAGCACCGTAGTCCGCTTAACTGAATAAAGTTAAATTAAGCGTGAAAACAATTAATTTAAAGAATGTGTTTCGAACTCGTCATCAAGTTTAAGAATGTAGCATTTTTAATCCCGAATGTCAGATGCCAGATAAGGAGTTGGTTTGCATATAAAGTTTTATTTTTTTTAAAGAGAACAAATTTTGCCACATACACGGTGTACATTTGTTCATACATGTGGGAAGTTAAACAGTGAAATGTCTACATAGCTTAAGCAAAAACTAAATTTAACAATGTTTCTCTAACTGTAATTTAAGAGTTCCTCCTTGATGAGCTGTAATTCTATTGTGTTGGAGAATAAGGCGTAGCAAAGCAGAACAAGTGCCGTGTTCACATAAAGTAGGAGAACCAAAGCACACGGCAGGAAGAAACGTTTGAACCCGAGAGCATTTTAGTTTCATGAGCTCCTGTTTTTGATTGTGTGTTTGCCATGAAGCGAACGCAAGGGTCGCTGGTAATCACAGGTCATGTTCCCACATCAACCCGAAGATGTAGAGTCGTCTCGGAATCAATGTCTGCATCTGCACCAAGCCAACAGTTTTCCGAAGTGTCAGACCTGCCCAGTGTCGGTGTGTAAAGTGGAAACCGTGATTTGGATTTGTGAGTCTTTCCGGTGAAGCGTCCGTGTGCCGATGAGGCCCAGGACATGTTAGTACAGCTCCGATCAGCGATCAGCCTCGCTCTGCTGACTTTTACAGTGTCCGCTCCGGGCTGTAAAATCCACCCGAAAGACAAGACACCCCAGCTCTCGCATAGATTATTGCAAGACTTTCCATTTGATTTGATTGCCGTCTGCGTCAAAAGTGATTTCCAAGCTGTATTTCATGTGCATAGGTGTTGAAACTGACCCTTGTGTGCGCATTGAGGTGGTTCTGATTCAAGCTCTGGAGGAGACGTTTGCACTAAGCTTGCTCATGCCGCTTCAGGTTTTAAAATATTCCACTTTAGTGAACTCTTGTTGTGCCTCCCAATGTCGCCTTTGATGTCGTTTTAATCCGCAGCCACTTTAAAGAACACTTTGTTCCTGCTGCTGCTGTTCTGTAATGTTTTCTCTCCTCCTCCTCCTCCATAGTTGTGCAACATTTTTGGTAATGTGCTGTTGGTTTCTGTTATGCGCAGCCATCTGCAGAACTCGGGTCACGCCGCGCCGTTTGTCATCGTCTCAGAGGAGGCCATCGCTAAGGGCATCCGCCGCATTGTTGCTGTGACAGGAACAGAGGCCCAGAAGGTCAGCACTAACACACACACACACACACACTCATGCGCTTGCTGCCAGCATCATGCTCATCCCCAGAAAAGAGTTTACCTAACATTTTGAAGAAACTACATTTTATACAGCGCATGTTTCCATCAAAAAGGAAATGAAAATAACTTGTTGCGGTGTGTCGATGGTCAAATAGTCGCAATGATTTTCTTTCCACTCGCAACAGAAAACCGAACTAAGTGAAAATGTGTCTCAGACTGAGGGACGACATGTCGAAAAAAGGCAGTGATGAAACTTTAGTGAAGCTTGTTTCTCGTGTCTCATTCACATTCATCAGGCCCAGAGGAAAGCCGATTCCCTGCTCCAGGCTTTGTCCGGGCTGGGAGACAAGGTGAAGCAGCAGACGGCCCCGAACAAGGACGTTCAGAAAGACATCGCCGACATGACGGAGGTAAATGGCTTTTTTTTTCTTATTTTGTGCTTCAAAGAACATCCCAATAGAACGACCCTGTGCTGTGGTGCCAACATGTCCGTCCTCCCTGCAGTTGATCGGCACAGCAGTGATCTCCCAGTGGAAGAAGGACGAGATGAGGGAATCCCTAAAGGGCCTGAAGAAGACCATGGACGACTTGGACCGCAACTACAAGGCGGACATCCAGAAGAGAGTCCTGGAGAAGACCAAGGAGGTGATAGAGAGCAGCCCGAACCAAGCGCTGCTTGTCATGGAGATGGAGACCGGAGCCTCAGCTAAGGTGAGAGTCGAGATGGTGTTGAAAGAGGGACTGAAATGATGCATTTGCATTTTTTGTGTTCTCTGAATTGACCCTACATGCTCATATAAGCGGAGATTTATAATCCCAAGACTTCATCAGCATCCCATACAAAACTACATGAAGAGTACAAACCGCATAAAATCTAGTTTCTCTGCAGTATTGCACATTTTCCCAGCCAGTCTCATTCTTTATCATATTGTGCTATCTGACCGTGACACACCCATAGTGCTAATTAGGAGACTACTTCTTCCCTCACTGTGTCTACACTTTCCCTCCTTCTCGCTCACTTGTTTTTCTCCTTATCCTCCCTCAGGCTCTCAACGAGTCACTGAAGCTGCTGAAGTCGCAGTCTCCTCAGACCGCTGCCATGCTCTTCACCATAGACCCCGACGCCGGCAAGATCACCTGCCTGTGTCAAGTCCCACAGGTAACACGGTCATTCATTCAGTCAAACTGTGCACCGGCAGCAATTCCGCACCACATTTTATCAACAGATTTAAACCCTGATTGCTCTTCCTCTCCTCAGGATGTGGCCAAGCGAGGTCTGAAGGCCAGCGAGTGGGTTCAGGAGCTGTGCCCCCTGCTGGACGGCAAGGGAGGCGGCAAGGACATGTCGGCCCAGGCCACGGGCAAGAACATTCAGTGCCTGCAGGAGGCGCTGCAGATGGCCAACCAGTTTGCACAGCTTAAACTGGGGGAGAACTAAGAGTAGAGAGAGGAGGAGGACAACAACAAAAACATAGGTTCGGTCTTAATTGAGTTAGAAATCATCCCTTTTTCCTTTCTCCTCTACTCTTTTCTTCTCCCCTTGGGTCACAAAATATTAGAAAAACAAAGCTCCCGGGTTTCTTGCTCACTATGTTGACGGATGACACTCTGCCAGCAGTAACCGAGTCACTCATTCATTTATTAACACTCTGTATAAATCGAGATCCTCTGATGCAGTTAAGTGAAAGAGGGCAGCCGATCATTCGAGAAATCTTACTTCTGTGCGTCCACTGCACTGTTGCACGCTTGTGAGGGAGGGAAACAGATGTGCTTTTGGTCGATTTTAGCCTCCGGCCAGGACTGCACCGCTCAGATGAAGCGACTAAAACGAATGGCTCCGTCCAGAGTGAGCAAAAGCCAGAGTTCTCTCCTGTGATTGGTTGCACTAGCTGTATCTTGCTTTTCAAATAACAAGCCATTATCTGACATGTTAGAAGTCAACGGGTTTAATTTAGTAAATAAATAATTCATTAAACTGTATAAAATTATCATGAACGTGTCCAATAATTAATGTGTGACTTCATTTGCTGACTTTTAATATCGATTGAATGCAGGATGTTGTCTGTTATCATTGTAGCTGTTCCATGTCAGATGTGTCACGTTATGAGGATGGAATAAATACGACTGCTGTCTACTTTGCTTCTTTCAAATGTGTGATATATTTGTATTGGTGATAAATCTCAGGGAGGAAAGTGCAGACTCGAGGTTTGATGGATCACTGAGCAAAAAGCACTGAGGTGTAAATGTATGTGTACGTTGTAGGAGCATCTATTATGAACACTTGGTTTAAAGAGTGAATATTGTGTGCGTTGTTCGACAGTTGCAGATTTGTTAAAATTATTCTTAACCTGCAATAACATGTTTGGCCACTTGGGGGGAGTGGAAACAAGCTGTATACACAACACTGACACGTTCTATCGCCATTGATTGGTTGAACTTGATAGCAAATAGTTGGCAATTTACATATCCTGCAGTAAATCCAATATCCACTGCGTCTTGTCTGGATTTAGTCTTCACTTCCTGAGGAAAACAAACTGGTTTCCAGCTTGACGCCCCGTGATGTTTACCTGGCAGTCATTTAATGCTGGGCAAAATCATCTGAAGCAACTAAAGCTGTGAAACCAAATGTAATAGAGTGAAAAGTTAAATATTTGTCTCTTTGAAACATTGCAGAAGTTTAAAGTCACATAAAATGGAAATATTTCATCTTTCTTCACTATTGGAAGAAATGCATTACAATAAGTACGTTTTCTTTAGTGTATAATCACCTGATAATAAGAATAGTTGTGTTTTCGTTTCCTCTTCACAGAGCCGGTCGCCATGATGTTGCTATCTGCTCGATGACGCCAAATCCCACACACTGGACCTTTAAGTATACGGCAGGCCACTCCAGTACCCAAATTATTTTAGTAGCTCAGTGTAAACCAAAACCGTAATCCCACAAACACGCAGTCAGACCTCATGTTTCATGAAGCTTTTATTTGTACAATAGCATAAGATACAAAGAGTTGGATCACATATCATACGGATGTGTCAATGTAGTAAATACACGTGTGGTGTACTACCTAGTCCAAAAGGTAGTCCTACTGACGAATGAGACATTGAAGCTTGAACTAGATGACAGATCCAGACAGCAGGAAAACCACCGATATGAAACGATTTCACCCATCTCAACTGAGACAACAACCTTTCTAGATCCCTGGACGACTTCCCTCCTACAGTATCTGCTAAGATGTATTCACTAAACAGCTTTTACTCCTACTTGATACGCTTTACTGGATTGAGAGTACGAGCACAATAGCTGACAGAGGTGAGAGTCGTTAGCGTAACGATCCACAGCGACAGTATGATATGTGCAGTCTGAAGCACAGTGACTGCTGCTAAAGAGCTGTTCTTGATCAATGCACACCAGTGAACTGATGAGGAAGGAGCTGCCTGCGGCTGTCCTCACCTCAGCCTCAAACAGCACAGCATGCTGGCAACGTCACGATGCCAACAGCCGCCTGGACCGGCAGTCATCCTGATCAGGATGCGTTTGTTCCTTTAAGCTCTCTAACAGTCAGTCAAATGTATGCTACTGCTGGAGGAAGCTATTCTCAATTACCCGAGAACAGAACTGACCTATATTAAAGGGGACACTTTTTCAGGTTTTTTTGTGGGCTGCCTAATAAAAAAAACAAAAAATGATTCAGCAAGCCACTCAGATTTGGCTCCCTGTCCTGTCACATGTGCCAAGGTGCAGCCTTGAGACTTTAATAAAAAAAGAATTCCAGCCATAAGAGCTGTGGTTATCTTTTCTCTAGCACAGATATTGTCTTTTGTAACAACTCGAGACACTGTCTGGTCTGTTCCTCCCCTGCCAGACAACCGCAAATTGATCCAATTTTCTGATTTGCGTTAACTCTAGCTCAATAAAGAGGTTCTGATTAATATGTTGCTGAGTCATAAAGTCGGCTAGAAAAACAACCCAATTTGTGTGTAACATGAATATAATTTGGAGGGAAACTGTGACTGTGATACATCTGTACAGACTAGCATGCTAGCTGTCAGAAAACATCAGTGTCCACTTTTTCTGAGCTGAGCAGGTGTGCTTTCAGACAGTGTCTTCAATTAGCCAATAAAAAGATGAATTGAATGACTTTAATGTGCCTCCCTTTCTATTAAAGAACATGTTAATTGCAGTAAACTCCAGTGGTTTGTGTCTGCCACTTTGTGCAGCCGTACAAGCAATCAATAAATGGGGTTTGTGGCTTTTCTGAAATGTGAGTCACAGCATAGTGTGAGAGACAAAACGGTGTAAAAATAGTCCTGGATGTGAAAGGAACCTGGATTCCACTGACAGCAGAGTAGAACAAAGGTGGTTTTAGTCTGGGGAGGTTTTTGCAAGAGTCTGGCCTGGAATTCCAAAAATAAGAAAAATAACACAACGCTTAAAAGAAAATCGGTCCAGCTTAAGTTGTGGCAGAAACATAACACTCCAGTCAGCTTTTATTTGACTCGTTTCCGTCAGTGTTGCGAGAGAACAAAGCCCCCTGCATTCAGATTGCACCTGAGAAAACATGCTGCTCCCTGGACATCCGACCGTCACAATCAAGGACCACGTTTCCCAAAAAATGCTCTCAACCGATGCAGCTCTTTATTTCTTGATTGCTGTTCTTGAAAACCACCAGCCACCTGAAAACTGGCGCTGCTTCCAATTCTTTTCAGGATCAACTCCAGAGGACACAGAGAAATCAGTTTATTGGGTCAGCGACAGGAGAACAGACCTACTTCAGGTTATATACAGGGAACACTGTCAGGCGAGATCTGTGTCGTGTACTGTAAAACCTCCACTCGTATTTAGGCCAGCAGAGAGGGATCACCCTGCTCACCTGATCACAATGTTCTCGTGTAAGAAATCAAGGATGCTGATAACGGTTGCTGTGCTTGAACACGGCCCGACTCCGTTAAGACTGTTCTACCCACTGCAGGCTGCAAGAATGTGACAGGAATGCTGCCAGAGAGCCGAGTTATCTCCAAAACATTTTACACATTCCTTTTGAAGTTGGAAGGAGCATCTTGGGAAACAAACATCAATAACACAGGACCACAGTGGTGGACAACTCCAAGATAACAGGGAAGCAGTGGTACACTGATATGTCTAAGCCTTCAGACGCTTTGTCGTCCTCGCCATCTGTTCTACAGTCCCTGTGTCGTTGAAAACAAACACCAGCAATAGGACGTGTACCTGCAATTTTGAGGGATTGAATCCAGCGGATGACCCTCTCTGTCTGCCATTTTTCACTAAATGTTATCTAGAAAAGCAGAAATGCCTCAAAAGTATATACACTCGATGCTCAAAAAAGTAGCAAATGTCCTAATATGAATTCACAGCGAGTCACACTGCATCGCCGGTTTACATCCTCTCCTTTCGCCTCCAGCGATCGGTAGAAAACAATGTGACAAAGCAGTGAGAAGTGAAGAGCGGGAGGCGTCTGTTCCCGAGCAGAAGGCAGAGTGTGTGTGTGTGTGTGAAGCTCAGAAGGCACAGCTCTCAGCCAAAAGACATGCGAGTGTGTGTGACTAAAAAAAATGCAAAGGTAACAGGCGCGTGTGTGTGTGTGTGTGTGTATTGCCGATGGAGCAGCTTGTAGGCGAGATACCTCCAGCAGCAGGACAAGGCACGAAAGCATGAATGTGTGTATGTGTGTGTGTGACAGAGAGAGAGATAAAACGATATGTCCAGTTTCAGCCAAACGGACTCCTAAATTGAGCCCGACATTAAAACCTCCGATAAGATCTGTTATGTGCAAAGTAGGATAAAAACATTGAAAGCAGATTAAGTACAATGGTAACACAAGAGAGTTACATGTGGTTATTAAGATGATACAATAATACAACAATAGAACTGATATCAGCATAGTAGCAAACAGTTCTTCACGTCGCCTGCTGGGGGCGGTACAGCACTCTGACCCTCCAACATTGTGTGTGTGTGTGTGTCTGTCAACCTCAAACCTTTCTCAGTGTGAGCAGTGTAAAAAGAGAAAAAGTGAAGTACACAATAAGAATGAGCGCTACAGGATTAAATCCCTTAACAACACACTCAGAGGGACGTGCGTTCAACAATGTGCTTTGTTGATCTCACACACACACACCGGTGTTATTTCGGATAAAAGAAGCATCTGCTGCAGCATACACGGTTCCTACACAGCTTCCATTTACATATGTAGCTGTCAATGTAAATGTAGCTCACGGTATAGCACATCATGAGTCACTAAAACAATACACCAACTCCTTCTGTGGGAAAGAAATATTGGTGAAGTTCTGGTAAACTTTAAGTTGTAACTAGTGTAGTTTTCTCATAGTTCTAAAGGAGCATTAAAGACCCTGAAAACATGTTTTCTGAATGTCATTGGATAATTATTTATTTTTGTCTGTGCTCTTCTGCAGTGGGCGGGGCTGAGATGGAAACACGTTATGTCACGTATTTCTCTGTCCTAGTCCATTGTTTGCAGTATTTGAATTAAAATTTAAAAGCCTGAGCTCTCAGCACAACGTGAAGCAATTATTGAGTTATTAATACCGATCAACGATCGTTTAAACCCATGCACGCATGTATTAGTAAAGGGGCAGTAGAAATATTACTTGTTGCACCCTGAAAGACTTATTCAATCACCTGCTTCTCCATATTGTCCAGACCTGTGTAGGAACCACAAGTACTTCATCAGCCACCATCTGATTGATAAACACAACTCCGTCACAGCATCTTTGGATGGATTTACGGCCTCAAGTCAAACCAAATACTTTCCTTCCTCTCTGTGGCACACATTCTGTCTTCCACCGACGCTTCTGTTTTTCATATATTTTTTAGCAGCACTTTAATGACTATTTTGGGCCTCCTTGTTAAAGACATAAATAACCAACAATGGAGGCTATAAAGGGTGTAAATGGCGTTATTTGAAGATACCAAATCATGATAAAAAAACATAAACGAGGGTGGAAAAGAAAATCTAGTCTGAGCCAATAATATAAATCCAGCCAATGGATAAACTCAAGGCTAAACAGCACATACAACTAAGAAATGAAATCTGCAGTCTGGTGGGTATAATATGCCATCAACATGAAAATCAGAACAGGAAGTGCAGTTTATGCGGTACGAAGGTGAAGTCTAAGGCGTCTGGTGGCTCCACCCTCCTCCAGATATAGCTGAAGTTTGAATTGGCTGAGCGGGGGACCAGGGCTAGTGGGGTTTTCTTTCACCCCATCATATGGGGCCTTAATCTGGGGCGAAATGCTCCAGACAGTCTCTAATCCCACAGGGATGCAGGAGTCAGGTCTGTGAAAAGGAAAAGAATCAGTGCGAGGTCTGTTTTCATTTCAGTCCTTTCAAAACCAAAGTGGTGAACCCAGTACAGTTTGTGTAGAAGCGCGAGTTTGCTGCATATAAACAGTGGACCAACGTCTTATCTATTTACCCAGCAGCAAATGATGCGTTTCTCATGCTGCCTTTGTCAAACTGGTGCTTCGTGCCCCGGCTCTCTGTCTACAGTCCTCGTCTCCCAAATTAGAACCTGACAGACCACATGGGGATGAAACGCCCGGTCCAGATCCAGCGTGCCTCCATCCAAACATGAAATCACAGGAGACGGACTTTCGGCCTCATTAGGCATCACGGAGTCAAACCAACGCTCCTCCCTGTGTCTGGATGTGAATAGAGACTGTAGCATGGGCATGCGGTTTGCCGTGGTGTGTAAAACCAGGTTAGCTGGCTCTCCAGACGCCGAGGCTCATGCTAGTGCTGCAGTCATCTGTCAGAGTCCGAATGGCCACAAGGCAAAAGCCTTGATCCCATTTCTGTGCGTCTGCTGCAAGGTGTCGAGGACAGTCGCACGATATAAACTCACATCAATCGCCTACAGTCTTACAACCAAGCGTTTTTTACAACCCATCACCGTCAGACAAAGTCCTTGTGACAGTGAAAAGTGGAAAGTGAGGCTTGGCCGCATATGGGACTTGAGAAGATCAATTCTTTCTCAAGGAAGTCACGGCCCAGGAGATGTAAGAGATGGAAAATTAGTCCTCGAGTCTCAAAATGTTCAACAGCACTCTGGCTTCTGACAGCTCCAGTTTGTGTCCGTAGTGTCAATCTTGTCTGGAGGCCTACAGTACAGTACAGTACAGTACAGTATCTCGTGCTTAGAAGGTGAAGAACTGTGAGTTTAAACACTATTTGTTTCTGTCTGACATCACACTGCTGTAGAACAGTCGTCTACTAGATGCCGACGGTGCAGTTTCAGTACGTTGCATACTGAATTTTTGTTAGAAGCGGGATATATATATCTGTCTCTCTCTCGGCGCTGTACACAGCCAATGTCTGTATTTGTGGTGATGGGTTGTTTTCCTGCTGACAGGCTTTCACTCGTTTTTCACTCCTGAGTTGAAGCTGCCCCTGGAAAAAGATATGTGGTCCCTCTCTGGACATTAGTGGTATAACCTTGAAAACTAAGAGCCAATTACTCTCTAGTGAGCAGAACTACGTTTGGATCTACATGTTCCCTGCTCCTGGTTCCTCCATGTTCTCCAATCAGAGCCTCTTCTGGTGGGGTCTATAAGGGAAAGTGAATGGAATAGCATTGTTTGGTACCATTTCGTGAACCGTTTCGTCTCGCCTTCTGTAAGCATTCGGTTTACTTCAACCTGGGAACCCAAACTGGTGCAGGTAAGGGAATGCGAGGATATCTAACACGTTCTAAGCAGCCTCTATAGTGTCTGTTCCCGTACCAGAGTTGGAACGTTAGATATACAGGGTGATCTGCTGGTTATTTTCCTGGGAATACAGTGATTTTGCCAGCCTTGGCCAGCCGTTGGATGATCTGGGCTTCGTAGTCTGCGTCATGGACGCCGGTCTTCCTGAACTCTCCGGAGTAGCGGTTCTGTTCCCAGTAGTGGTGCCAATTTCCCCTGCTGTCTGCCCCGAAGCCAAACACATTCACCTAGAGGAGAGTCGAAAAGTGAGGGTTGGAAAACAAAGTGTGCGATTACAAATATGTCGAGTTGTACCAAGACCAGTATCCGAAATTCCTCCGATACAGCCTAAAATGCTGGATCGGGAATTGGCGAGTATGCGAGTCTATTCATCGATCCAATATCACAATAATCATATAATGTATCTGTTAATTTAGGCAACACAGGAACAACAACATGATTTACTCACTACCGGATCCCTAGACACTCGTTAACTACTTCCATCAGCGATTTCGTACACAGTGTTTTTTTCCCCAAGCTGATGATGGAAGTAGCTAACGGGTGTGCCGTCTCACGTCTTTCTCATCTCTGTTAGGAGTTGCATATGTGGAGTACCGAGCAGGCAGGTGATAGTGGAGAGTGTAACGTTAGCCAGAGCTAGCAAAATGTCAGCAATTTGGCAATATTTTACACTCATCCCACCCATAAAAGCTCTGTTTTTAACCCACTGGTACTCGGTATCGGGACGATTCGCAAAATTCAGGTACGGCATCTGTATTTAGAAGGAAAAATAGTCTGAGAACATCTCTACAAATGTGTGTCTGTTCAGGATAAATATGATGTAATAGATGGATGTGTCGTTCAGCATGATGCCAGAATGTAAAGCATCTGTGTTGTGTTAAAACAGAGAAAGAAAGAGAGAGAAACTGACCTCATCACAGACATGCAGGGCAAAGAACAGTACAAGCATGCCAGTGGAGGGGTAGCGCCCATGATGTCTGGTCCAGCGGTCGTGGATGTATTTAAAGAATGCTGGGTTGAAGATCTGGACCTGGGTGGTGGACAGAGACGCAGAGGATGGGACATAGTGTAATATACCGTCTACCGGCTGTGAATTTAACCAAGAATCAAACCCAAACTTTATCAGCAGAAAGATATTCAGAAAGATCCACAAATGTGTTTTTCCAAGTATTCCCAGTATAGGTAAATCCAATTTACTCTGAATTCAGATCTTAAGCTTTCACTCAGATTATTTATACAGTAAGAACAAAAACCCACAGCCGCTGCACAGAGGTCCAACCGCACAAGAAAATATTTTATTATACTCTCTGAGATTGTGATTGAGTTTTTTTTTATTTCACAGATTAAAGAGCAAGCAGAAGATTATTTAAAACAAAGGGAAGGTCTGTAATCTAACTGTAAGCCCTCATCAACAATGGGGAGGGGATGATATAATTGCAGCAAAGCGGGGTCACTCTGTGTGTGTGTGTGTCTGTGTGTGTGTGCATGTGTGTGTGGCTGCAAATGTCTATGTGTTGGTGTATTACTGTGACTGTGTGAGAATGGCCAAAAGTAATTGCAATGGGCGTTGAAAATACACACCTTGTCTTTATCTACACGGAGGAACTGCTTCACAGGAGCGTAGGTGCTGAGGAAGAGACAGAGAGAAATTGATTAAACACATTCAATCCACACTTTATGTGATTGCTATGAATTCTGGATGAATGACGACTGACAGATTGTTTCAGCCCAGCAACTCTCTTCTCACAACTCTGTGTGTGTGTGTGTGTGTGTGCGTGTGTGTAGGTATGTAAAATGAAGTGTCTTTACTCCACCAAACTATACTTGTGTGTTTGTGTGCCTTAAGATCAAATGGTGGATGCACTCTCTCATGTGTGTTAATCCGTGTTTATGCATATCTGTATGTGTGTGTGTGTGTGTGTGTGTGTGTGTGTCTGTTCTTACAATCGAATCTGGCCGGTGGACAGAGCGCTGGTGATCCAGACGAGATCCAGCGTCTTAAAGGGAACCAGGACGAAGCTGACGTTGGCTGCCAGATTCTTGGCGCTCTCCGGGTACATGAAGTGGTGAGTGGTGTGGCTGCCGGCGTCTTCTTCGTAGCCCACTGTGGGGGCCAGGTTTATTCTGGGAGTGAGGGAGGGACAGCATAAGAGATGTAAGTCTTTGTGCGAGCTTCAACTGTAGTCAAATAGGTGCCTGTTTCACTTGATAGGCAGTTTCTGATTGTTTTTGGAACCAACTTTTAAAAGAGTAGCTCAACATTTTAGAAATTAGAAGATCCCCTGTTTCATTTGAATGTGTTACACCTGAATTTGGCCACATGGGGGCAGCTGTAAAAACTAAAATGACATCATCGGTGTCTTAAATTGACTTGGCCAAAGTGTTAACGCATAACGGTTTATGTACAGGTCTAGCAGACACGGACCAACATTTGCATGAATTTGAATTCGTCGGCCACCCGACAGATAAAAGTGCATATTCACTCTCCTTCTTGCTCTGTTTTGGTCTCCTCCAACTGCTGAGGGAAATGTCTGGCTCTCAAAAAACGATCCAATATGTTCACCAGCTAGCTGCTAACGTAACTTGCTAACTGTTTTGGGGCTAAGCAGGTAATGGAGAGGTAATGGGTTTTTAGAGCTTTTTCACTGATGTGAAGGTCTCTTTGTTCGGTTCCTGTTGTTTCTGTGCTTTCCATCTCCAGGGCTGCAGACCTGATTGAGTGTAATCAGCGGCATTGGACACACTGGTCTCTCCCTATATATATACAGATATCTGTGATGTGGCTTCTGTTTGTTTTTTCCAGCACATTGTCACACATCCTCTTCCTACACTGACTCTACAGATTCCTGCCATCATTCATTTGACTGATTTTGACTTACGTTTTACTTAGTGAATCACTGTATTTGTTAAGTATACCAGTGTGTCTCCTGTTTTAATCACAGTTTAAGAGCCTGGGCTGCAAAACAGTGCTCATGAGAGCAGTGAGAGTGAACCAAAACAGTAAAGTAACCAAAACAATGAGCTGAAAGATGCTAAAACACTACAAAACTGCAGAGTAGGGTGAACATTCACTGTGGGTTTTGTCACTACCAGCAAAGCAGTCCACAGTAGTCAAAGTCATTTGAGTCAATATGAAAATATTTGTTAACTCATAAGTTTCAGGACAAGGACTTTTCAGCAACATATTTGATTAAATAATGTAATAAGCATATTTGGCATTGCAACCTCCAGTCAGACAGTAACTGGACCACTCAGCTCCGTCTGTGTAGTTCAGACTTTTGCTGTATTTACAGTAGATGTGACTCACTGTCTGGAGGAGTGAGCTGTAAACAGGGAGGTGCACATTAAAAAAACACTGAGTGGGCCTTCCCATATGTCAGTGAACAAAACAGATGGGTTTTTAGATAGCGGGAGTAAAAAGGCAGACAGAGAGGAGGTGGGCGGTGGTGGTGGTGGCGAGTGGTAAGTGAGCCGGTTGTGGCAAAGATGATTACTGAAACAAATGAGAATCCAACCACAGCAATGAGCTACTGTAACAGGAGACAGAATTTGGAGGCTGCCCACACAGGTCTGCTGAGAGTGCAACGCTAATGGATGCTAATGCTAATGTGCACAGAAACAAAAAATACTAGTCATCCCTGCTGAAGCTTTCCTGCCACAAGCACACGCCCGCTGCAGGAAACAACATATAGCTGTGTGTTCATGCCAACTGACAACAATCAGGCACTGTCATCCATCACTGCAGCACGAATAAAAAGCCATGGGGGGGGGGGGGGGGTAGATTCAGACAAATGGATTTATGTGCCTCTCTGCGTGGGTGTGTACGTGAGAGGCACGATCTGTACGTCTCAGCTTCTTAGGACATAAAGTCCTCTGTGGTGACCTCACACGAGTCAGGTGACCTCTCTGTCAACCGGTTCGGAGAGATGAATAGAGGACGGCTTATACTGAAGATTACATTTAGTATCAGACACACATCTGCTTTCTGCTTCTTTGGAAATATTTGCGCACACACACACACACACACACACACACACACACACACAATTATTTGATGTAACTTTAATGGCACATACTGTGTAGTGTGATGTCACAGTGTGCTCTCCGCACATGAAATGTCTCTTCCCTCCTCGTCTCCCTCCTCCTCCTTTCTTCATCTCTCAGCCCTCATCTCCTCCTCTATCTCCATATCTCATAGCCTTGCTCTGCCTAATGCGCCCTGGCATCTGGTCTCTGTCCCTCCCGTCCATCCATTGCATCCACCATCACCCTCACCTCATGATGTAGTTGTGTCCGTCAATGGTCGCTCCATATTCGGCCCCGCGGAGGTTTCCGGAGTTCCCCACCACGGCGCAGCGCAGGCAGCGTCCTGGATCCCACGAGCCGTACGGCGACCTTCCAGGAATCACCTGCGAGAGGAGAGCCGTGATTGAATCAATCCGACTGGATTCAAGATACACGGGAAATGAAATAGGACAGCGGCGCTAGAACAGCAAGAGACATATAAACGACCCAACCGGCAGCTAAGACCTGATTGTAAAAAAGTACATCATGCTCTCACTACTGGTGTAAATTCCTAATGAGACCCTCCATGAAAAATACATGGGGCCCTTCTGCCCTTAAGGAGCGAGACTGAGTTATAGAAACATATAGCCTTATGTGAAAGAACTGCACTGCTTTGAGTCGGAATGAAAACAAAAAAAGATTTTTTTTTAATCCAGATAAATTTAAAAAAAGAATGAGCCACTGATAAACCCTACTGTCTAATAAAGACGATCGTTACCCTCAGCCTTTGCCCAAGAGAGTGAAGTAATGACTTGGCTGATCTGAAAGTGCTGGGATAATGGAAAGGTGAATTAATAATGTAATAGTACCTGGAACAACCTCAGCAGCACCTGCTGGATGCTGTGGGGTTTAAACTGGGGCTGTAACATCTAGAGAGAAAGCAGACAAAGAGAAAGTGCGGTTAGCATGTGTAGTTGCTCCTCTGCACACAAATTGGATGTGACAACAGATTTTATATGGAGTTATTTGTCCGTGTGCCCGTGCACGTGTGTATGCATGCAGTTGCCTGCAATCATGTGCGAATAAGCATGTGCCTGTGTGTGTGTGTGTGTGTTCACGTAACAGACATGTGTCAGACTGACAGGATGCAGTCAGACTGGGTGAGCTGTGGTCAGAGGAGCAGACGCGCTGCTCTCCACATGTCAAAAACAAGTTGAATTAAAAAATAAATAAAAATTGTGTCTTTCCAGGAAAGTTTACTTTTACACTGTCCGTCACCAACAGTGAGTTGTCCAAAGTACCCAGAGTTCTGCTCAGCGGGATAAACAAAAGTGACAGCAGAGATGACAACACGTCTCTCCTGTCGGGCTGAAGCACCAGAATAAATAGAAGGTGGACAAAAAAAATAAATTAAAGTCATGTGTTGAATTTAAAGGGAGGAGGAAAAAAACAAAAAAAAAACAGTGAAATGAGAGGGTTGAAAGAAAGACGAAGAGGGGAGGAAGAGGATGCTGTAGGTGATTTAGCCCTTTACGTACCTTAGTGGATAAGTGACACCATGAATGAATCTAACCCTCCTGCATTTGGGCCCAGCCCCGTTTGGAACGAGTGACATCCATTGCACATAATTAGCTTAGCTTTGTATTGTATTGCGAACTTGAGAAAAATAAAACCGTCACATTTAGATTAAAAGGTTTTTCTACGTAACGATTTTTATCAGATGACGGATTTTAAAAAAAGAAAACGAAATACGAAAAATACGGATTGGGCTGGCACCACCTACTGTGGATTAAGACCCGGATTTACTTCCAAAGACAAAGAGATGTCCGATAAAAAAAAAAAAAAAAACGTGATCCAATTTTGGTATCTGCCAAAACACACAGGCAATGGTGCATTCATGCATGTAAAGAGAAAGCCAGCACCTGCAAACACATTAAAAAAGAAAATCATCCCCCAAAACAAATAAATGCACACAGACACACACACACAAAAGTTCCATCAGGATATTGGCTGCTCCTCTCCTCTCCTCTCCTTAAGCATTGTTTCCTTTCTCTCTTTCTCCTTTTTCTCCCACACAGCAATCTTCATTTTCACACTCCTTTGTCGCCACTTCCTTTTCACCCACCATCGGCCTTAATTCGCTTTTCCCGACACAGATCTCCTTCGCTTACATTTTCCTTCACGCATCCTCTCTCCAGCAGTCTCCTTGGCCTGATGTCTAATTCCTTCTCTTTAATTTCCCTGCCTCCCTTTTGTTTGTTTGTTCCTCCTCCTCGAGCCTTTCTTCATCTCTTCGTCTCTCTGGGACACCTATGCACCACGCAGCTCATCAGTGCTGATCAGAGGCCCCGAAATCTGTATTTTTCTCCACTTTTACTCTCTGTGACTTTGCTGCTCATGCCGTTACCCCTCTGCATTCTTCTCCTTCTTCTCACTATACCTCTCTTGTTTTTCCAACCTCCTTGATCCCTCCATCTTTTGCCTTCTTCTGCCTCTGTCTCTCCGCATGAAGCCAGAGCCAGCTTGGCACGCTGCACCGCTGTTGTTCAGGGGCTTCTAATTTTTTGGCACACGTTTATTTCTTTTGGCAGCCAAGCCAAATGGCGTCTTGCTTCCTTCGTCTCAGCTGTCCTCGGACTCCTAAAGTATGAGCTTCCTGGCACCTACTTTCAAGTGAATACCACTTTTCTTCAAAAACGCTCAATGAAAATCAGAGCGAGTTTTCCAAGTGAATCAAAGTGACGGTTAACTTAATCAACGAAGAGTGTTTATACTCTTAAAATGTGAAAATGCTTCACCGAACTAGAACGTCACTTAGGTCTTGCCCGACAAATCATTATTCAAAACATTTTTTGTTAGTTTTTGCTTAATGCTCGATTCTTCCCTCTCCTGAGGCCGGAGGAGTAGTAACACATTATGTTTGTTTTAAAGAGCATATACACTCCAATCATGCACACACACAACAGTTTGTTTTCCTTCCTTCCTAAAGTTTGTTGATTGGAAAAAGTCAAGGGGGTAATTGACTGGGGAGCGCTTACACGGTCTGCCTCTCAAACTCTTTGCCAGGAAATGTCATCTTATCGTGTCTTCTGATTCCCAACAGAAAGAGCTTAAACTCCTCTTCCCCCTTTACACCATGGTGTCCTAAAGTATAAGACTATAAGCCCAATAAAGGCCTGGTTCTCTTTGCCACTGTTGAAAATAAAGTGGACAGGTATACCATCACTAAAGGTGGTAATAATTCCCATAATTGCTGCACTCTTTCAGCAATGTTGTCCATTTTTCCAAGACCTGTGGTGGAAAATTCCAAGTTGAAAACGTAAAATATCTCAAATTTTTTCAAAACCACTACTAACAGCTCAAAAAGCTTTGGAGTGACACGATGCATTCATGGCCAGCATATTTTGGGGAGAAGAAAAGAAAGGCAACATGAAAGTACCAGATGGCTCTGTGCAATTGGATGTGATGTTCTTTCCGATACAGAGTGATAGAAAGGGATCCCTCACGAGAAAGCACAAGGTCAAAAACAGAGAAACTAATATGTCTGCCGAGGCCTGTGAGTTCCTCTTGCTTGATATGGCCCTGTACCATTCTTCTGTTCGTTCTCTAGTTCCTTTCATTGTTTTATTCTACATGTTGTTTATTCTTATTTTCCTTTTCCCCTTCCTCTCTGTATCTCTATTTCATTTTCCTACCGTCCATGTTTCCCCTGTACTTTACTTTGCTCTGTACGTGATCTCCCCTATTCCTTTCCAATCAGAACCAATCTTCTCATTTATGTCTCCTTCTTTGTCTCCCCCGGTTCGTCGCATCCCTGTTGCAGTGTGACCTAATGACTTGGCAGCTGTTCGCATGTGTTTGCAGTTCTCTGCCATGTCAGAGCTGGACTGAGGGTACAGCTGTGAAACGGGAATAGAGACCGGACATTAACACTCGAGTGGACATACGCAGGCACGAAGACGAACACACACACACACACACACACTGAGAAGGGGTGTTAAAGCGAGTTTGTGCTTCCCGTCTCTCTGAAGACGTTGTTCATTTCAGTTTTTCAGACACTACTCAGTCGTGGTTTACGCCCGGTGGCCAACCATGTCGTGAGACAGTAACATACAACTGGCATGAGGAGCATGTAGTACTTGTAAGAGGGGATTGGTTGGCTCAGTCACGAGGGAGGATGAAGAGGATGGAGAGAAATCTGCGATTATGATGTATTACTCCCACTATGTTGGTGTTCTAATATATATATATATATATATATCTTCCATGCAACTGACTTCCCCCCCTTTGCCATACAAATGGAAAGTGTTTGATGGTGCCTTATGCAAAAAAATGGAATGAAGTAATCGGCATAATACTTCTAAAATAAGTGGAAGCTGCAGCCCTACTTGTCACCACGCATAATTGTGTTACAACTCGATCGTGTAAAGTGAATCGATATTGTTACTTACCACCCACCAGTAGTAGACATCAGAGGGCAGCTGGATGTTGTCTCTGGTCCAAACGGGCGAGATATCCGGGTCGTAGTTCTCATCGAACCAATCGGAAACGCCGGGGTCTCCGACGCAGCGCGGACAAGCACATGTCTTCGGCTGCGAGGTCTCGGCCGGCGACAGCCTGTGCGCGCCCACGTAGCTGGGCACTAGCTTCACCCGCCTCGACTCCTCCCACCCGGGCGGCTCCAGGTAGTTGAAGCCGACGCCCCCGCGGAGCGAGACGGAGAAGAAGAGGGAGGTGAGGAAGACGAGAACCAGCGAGCCAAGGAGGACCCAGACCCTGCGGGAACATCTCGCCTTGCCTCCTTTCTCCGCCCCGCCTCCTACCACAGAGCTACCTCCGCCTCCAGCCGCCTGGACCGTCCCTCCGCTCAGCCAAGGCCTGAGCTCGGCGAGTCTGGGGGCTCCCCTGGAAGGACCCCCACCCCAGGACCCCCAGGAGCCCCAGCCCCAGCGCCTTTCCCGGTGCAGGGTGGAGGACGGGATGCGGCCCCCCCACGGCCATGCTCCAACCCCTGGGCCTGCCACTGTCCACAGCCCACCACCACCACCCCCTGCGCTGCCGCCTCCACGCAACGACCCCCAAGGCCTGGTCAGCGTGATCGGGGCGACCCCCTGACTAACACTTTGGACCACAAGGTCACTCACTATACCAGACTAGTAAAATCACACACACGCACTCTGGCGGAGGACGATGAGTCGGAGTCAATTTGTCTCACAGTCAAGCTGTGCGCTCAGCGACGCTCCTACGCTTTCCGTCTCCCGCTGGAGATTCTCTGCCTCTCTCGTTTCACAGGTTTGAGCTTGTCTCACCACACGCACACACTCCCTCCCTCTCTACTTTATAACTTTCCCCTCCCTGGCTTCCACTGCCTTGATGTGCGCCTCTCTCTTTCCCCTCCTGCTTTCCTTTTTGGGGATTAACTGCGGTGTCCATCTTCAGTGAAACCCAGTGCACGGCGCGGACGGATGCAGCAGGTCCTTCTCGCTGCCATCTGTGTGAATACTGAGCTCGGGCTCCAGCGCTCTGCCTTCTCTCCTCTTCTCTCTCTCTCTCTCTCTCTCTCTCTCTCTCTCTCTCTCTCTCTCT